ACTTAGTGTCTGCACTCTATCTGATTTACAAGTTCAATCACCTGATGAAATGGACAACCCTTATTGGAGTAATAGCTCATGCATTATTAATAAGTTTTATAAGAAGAAATATAACATTCACCTGAATCCATATAAAGACAGTCTTCCTTCAAATACCCTGCGAGCAGAGGAATTTTTCCCCTATCTATCTTCGTAGAAGGGGGTGGAAAAATCCTCTGTTCGCAGGGTATCCTTCAAATTACCATCTTGCTGAATTGAGTTTTTTATTTTTATATATTTTTAGCAAAATTTGTAGTCACAAGATTTCAGTAAAAAAAAAACAAAGAAGGAAAGAAAAAAGAACGGAGTGTCTAAACGTCAGGCAGTCTGACGTTTAGTCCCAGGACTAAACGTCAGGCAGTCTAATTTTTTCTTATAAAATCGTCGTAACAACCGTAATTTCAATTAGTACAACAAGGGAAATGCAATAAAGACCAAAATAATACTGTTCTACAAAATTGTATAGTCACAAGCACGGCACTTTGAAATATTTTGACTGCCCGACGTTTAGACACTCCGAAAAAAGAATCGCTTAGAAGCGATCGAGTCGAGATTCGAACCCGCGATCCTCAGTTCGACGCCCCTGATCGAGTATCATCTTGTTTCTAAAATTTAACAAACGCGGCTCGTAAATATTAATAAAACAAAAAGCTACGATAAAAATCTAGCATGACTAGAACAACTATATTTCAGTTAAAGAAAAGAGAGAAAGAATTTTTTAGACGTGCTCGAGTCACATGGAGTCGAGGATTGAACCTTGGAACTCTGGATTATGGTTCCCTTGGGATTGCTTAAACTGCGACGACACGTGGAAAAATAAAGTCGCTACATGTTATAACCGTGCCGCAGGCCTTGGGCCTGGACACGATAATAACAGATTCGCTTATACGCAAAGACCAAACCAAACACAAAAAAAGCACAATAAAATGTAAGAATGTAAGAAGGTTCAAGGTTCAAGCCATTTTTATGTCTTATGGGAATACAGAGTTAGGCACAACTCAGAGAGAATGCAAATTTTCAACATTTCTCGTGCTTTCTTTTATGTTTGGAAAAGGTCATTGGGCAAGAGAAGCTGTTGTCAAGAGCAGCGATTTTTCCTTTTGAATTTTAAAATGAAGTATTTCGCTTGGAAACAGGCATAAAGTTACTAGAATACGTGTAAAATCTGGGGGTGATTGATTTATCCACCCTTCGTACATGTTGTACACCCGGCGTATAACATTCAGAGTGTAATATCCAACCATGCAATACAGTTATTCTTCTATTGAGGCAAGCACCCATTAAGCGACCACCCCATATTGGGTGGTCACAATAAAAAAAGTCCGAATTGTCTATTCGATCTCTATATTCGACAAGCATTTGAATTGGACGAATGTTTTCAAAGTAGCGGACAAAATATTAAGGGGACTAAGCACACACATGCTCCTTTGGTGCACTTTGATAAAACGAAAAACTGCTGAATTTCTCTGTGGTACCTAATCATTCTTTACAGTAAACACTGTCAATGCTTTACAAAATCCGAATTCAGTGCTATAAACAGAATAAGTCTTTTAATCCTTAAACAAAATCTCTTTAACATCGTTCATATCTTTGCAAAATGTTGCGGTTGCCATGCAACACATTAAAAGTTAATTATCGGAGTGCCGAGTCAACTTTTATAAAATCAATCTCAGCACATCAATTAAACCACTCTCTCTAAGGAACGATGACCTCTTTAATAAAACAGGTTTGGTAACATCAGCATTCAAACTATAGAGCATAGACTTCAATTTCGCTATTCTATCCCCTAAATATTTACCTGTTGAAATGGTTGACAAATATAATTAATTCTTAACTCGATATATGTCACAGATTTGTTTATAGACAAACCCTTATGACAATGTATGTTTCTTTTTGTACATATTTTGTACATGGTAATCTCTTATCTGTAGATAAGAGAATATGATGTACAAAATATGTACAAAAAGAAATTAGCTATTTTGGAACCGCATGCATGATGACTGACTTATTTCTGGCTAAAATAACGAGTTTTAAAATTGTATTCTATCAACAAATCTATTTGATCAGTCAATCTTTATTCAACTAATTTTTTAACTAAAGTCGGCCACGCTTAAATTGGTAAAATGGTCCTCCATTGAGGAGCAAAGGTACAATCAGCGTTAGATATATGGCAGGGAGAGAAGAAAGAAAGCGCTTCAAGTAATTTTGAGATCGAAAACTCTGAAAGCTTCATCTCATAGTTTCCAATAACAGTTACGCGACGTTTTTCATGCAACGTCATAATGAGTTGAGAGTTTTTCAGTAATGGTAAATTAAACTTGATATCAAAGATTGAACGTTACGTTTTTGTGCACTGGGAACTGTGTTATGATATTACATTTCTTTAGGAGTTTTCTGGCTAAAAAGACTTTTGCGGTCTTTAGGAGTTGTCTGGCTAAAAAGACTTTTACGGTAATTTTGATCCTGGTAAATAATGTTAAAGAATTTTTATTTTCAGTACACTGAGGAGGTAGGTTTCTTCTTGGCAAGCTCCAAGGATAACACAAAATCTATGTGCTATTTTTTTAAATCTCGGCACAAATCACCAGTATTAACTAGCCTTAAGAACGAGCCTACCACGCCGACACAAACAATTGTATCTTTGACACGCATTGACCACAATGGACTCAAAGACTACAAAATATAATTACCACCGCTGCTTTTCATTCAAAGTTTAGTTTTAAAAAGATGCCACGATTATAAAGCTTAATTCCGTTAGGAAGGTTTTCAAATCATTGTGCTTCTATAGGTGGATTAGTTGTCGATATATAGGCGTATTTTAACAGGCTCTTATTTTCTAAAGGTCTTAACGCTCTAAGAAGGAAGAACAAAAAACAACAATTGGCGCACGTTGCAACGCGATATATACTACGGGAGGGCTTTGTTCATTTGAGCTGGGTGAAGGCAATGCAGATGAACGTAGCTATGGAGATTGATCGCCCGGTTCACTGCCATTCAGACAATAACCTTGTTTTCCAGATAATTGACGGCTTCTGTCTGGAAATTAAAGCGATAGATTGGACGTGCGGTACCTCATAGACATTAYTGAAGGGGCCTAAAATTTTCAAAATCATAGATATATATATTCAGTGCCGTAGCTAGTATAAGGCCAACCGAAGCACTCCCCTCGGTAAGGTTTGCGAATTTTGAAAGAAAATTAAAAAGCTAAATTGAATAAAATGTTGTCACCGATGAACCTACATTTGTTAATTGTTTATCCGATCTGGTCACTGTAAGGTATTTTTTGTCGCAGAGGTTAATTGTACCTTCAACTCCAACTGAACCAGGAACGATCCTTATATCAGCCATGATGTTTAACATAATTTAATGCTTGAACAGCCATCTACAAAAGTAGTCAAACCGCACTTTTTCTCTAAATTCAGCCATTAATTTCTTATTATAAGCAAATATCACAAATGAGATCTTACAAAGATTAAACTCAGTCAGTATAAATCATTAAATCCTTTCAAAGAGTGATAGAGAATACTTTTTCCCCGATCTAGGGAATTGGTCGGATTTGGTATTGTCTTGAGTTAGGGAGGGGTTAAAAAAGGAAATCATTTTGTTGTTCCAGTACAACAATTTATTCTCCTGGTCAACATAGTGTTAAAAAATATAACAATTTTGAATTTTGTAAGGTAAAAACCCGTTGCTAAGAAACTTGACTGGGCAGTTTTTGGAAATAATAATTACAGTTAGTAGTTTCAACGACATCGTAGTTTAATTTGCTTGATATCTATTACAAAATAAAACCGGGTTTTACGTTTTAGTGTATTGCATTGTGTATTGATGTTGATATATGCTATAATTTTATATAGTTCTTGATTAGTAAAACATCAAACTTGCTGAGGTTCAAATGTCAATTGCCATACTAATTAAGACTTGGATCGTTACTAATAGTAATCAGCCAATCACAAACAAGAAAGTCACACCCAGTTTTTATTAAATTGGCCGAATAATGCGATAAGTTCGTTCAGTTTGAAGAGCAATCGGAGAGGACAGAAAAACCGAAATATCTGGTAAGTTGAATAGTGAACCATATACCAAAGATTCCTCAAATCAACATGTTTTTTTAATATAAGATATTTTCATTTCAGATTTGAAGATGTCAGAGAACAATAGCGGATTTTACTTCAGTTCCATTCAAAATGGTAAGTTTGCTATTCGAAATTCAGAATTGATAATTTTATCTTATTCCGCATAGCTATTTATGTCTAGAACGAGTTATCCTGCGTACCAATAACAACATATTGAACAGATAGTTGAGATAATTCTGTATAATAATCTATAGAGGAATATATGGGCGCGCGAAGATACGGATTTTATCTTCGAGAAGTGAGAGTACCATATGAAAGCAAATTATGTCGTAAAATACCTTTTTTCTTACTTCCACTATATAGAGAAAGCCCAAATGTGTTATTTTCACTACATTTATTTCAACTACGTGTGTACATAAATATTTTTCTGCCTCTGAGTAACTAGTACTATAGAATACATTACTAGATCCAATACTGAAAGACAAGAGTAAGGAATTTGTCCGCGACGGACCTGTTGTCAATCCAGGGTGCTTGTTTTCCCACCATGTATGTAAAAAGTCTGGTTAGTTAATTGCCATTACAAATTTTTTTTCCATTCAATTGTTGCCAAAGTGTAAAAACTTGTTGTTCCTGCTCAAAAAACGACTTACCAATTAAATAGTTTGGGTCAGCTTCTAACTCGTTTTTGAAAAGTATGTTTCCAAATTGACCTCTCCATGTTGCAGTTTTTAAGTGTATTGATCTTTTTGAACACGATCACTGCCATTACTACATTCACAACTAATTGATGAATATGATGTCAAACTCGCACTGTAATTGGACATTTTACTGCAAGGATATTAGGTCATATTCCCTGAGCGAGTAAAAAAAATCAATTTACCATTAAGTAATTATGAAAGATCATTGGATTGTTCAGCAATTCTTTCAGTCATTCTCGTTTTCCTACTTGTAACGGGTTGGAAAGTAAAATTTAGGACGCGTTTCCGGCATGGATTGAAGCTGAGCGTTTCATCTAACATCATTTTAAGCATGAAGCGAAATATTTCATGCGTAAATCACGTTGAAGCGTATACGACATGACAGAAGTGTTTAAAAGCGTTTATAGGGCATGAGCTAAACTTTTACATACAAGCTGTGTCAGTGATTTGCGACCAGGCCTGCATATGACTTCGCCAAGGTTGTAAGCCAGTGAGCCCGTGCATTTTTGTTAAGCGGTCATATTTGAAAGTGTAAATAAAGAAAAGGGAAAACCCGATAAAAAAACGATAAATATTTGATTGACATTTAGAAGCTATTTTATAAAGATTTTCAATTTCTCTTTGCGTTTAGCTTTGATTTTTCGGATAGAATAAAATGGCAGGTAGCCTACTCCACTCGTTCGAGTTTTGCTGTGCAAATTCCTCCCGTCGGGGGGTTATGTTTACAACATAAGCTTGACAGCTTTGCGCTGATTGGCTAGTCGCATTTTCTCAAATCACCCAGAGCAGCAAATGCACAATTTTATCATCACTAGGATCATTTTCATACCGCCTCATAAATACCCAGGAGGCATTGCGAACATTTATAAATTCATGAAGCTTTGCGAGTATTTTTATGCTGGGCATGAAATCCCATGAAGCGTTGCGACCGTTTTCATGCTGGGCATGAAGCGCACGTGTGAAACAACACAACATTTGATGTTTGCCTTTTATTGTTAAAGGAAGATTTCACGTTTGCAGCTGCAAAGTTTTTGAAAGATCAGATCATCTATGTTCTTCCGCGGTTAAATAATATCAGTTCCTCCTTCCAGAGTGAAATTCCAATGACTTCCCATTTTTCATTCCTATGATTTCCACAATGTGGCCGTAAGGAACTCGAATTACGACCGAATTTCGAGATTAATTTTTTTCAAAAGTTTTGTTAGAAATATGCACCAATCAATTGTAACCCGCACCCCTAATAATCTCGGGAAAAAGTGGGGCATGGGAAATCTGACACTGTCATGGCTTTTTCCTCCTGACCAATACTTGCCAACTCCTCCTATTGTTTAAAAAACTTATTTAATATATTCCAAAATATTGAAAATTCAGTTAATGACATTTTTGTCAAAGTTTAACATATCATACAAGTTTGAATATCTTACACTTTGTTCTGTTTTTATTTAGACACTCTGGAAAGCAGGGCACCATTTTATCGTTTTTACGATCATTCTTCAATGTACCATTATAAACCCAAACATTCATTTTCATTGGGCTACCAGAGTTTCTCTCCTAGCCCTTACTGCAGAATGGTCGAATCAATTATGCCAAATTCGACATTTTGGTATCCCAGTGGGCCATCGGATTTAGCTAGAGTACATTGTCCTACTGTTTACAAACACTGTAAGTCGTTGATTGTCGCTGGAAACCCTGAAGAAGTAGGCCAAGGCAGATCCTTTCATGAGCCTAACCATATCAGTCAAACTGACAGCTTAAGGGAACAAGAGTTTAGTGCTATCAGTGGTTTGGTCAACGGTGAGCAAAGATCAACTAAGAACCTGGGATCGTCTGTGATGTGGATGTTCAAGAGTGAGAGTACAGCAAGTACGGCCACAAAATGTCTGGAGAATGGAAACTTTTCACAGCTAAATGAAAACCAAGAAGATGTTTGTGCACATAATAATTCATTCAACAACGAACGAAGAAAAGAAAGGCATGGCACTATAAGTGATAATATGAACTTAAACATCAAGCAAGAGAGACCTGACTTTCACGTAGAACCTTCTACGAACAGTGTCAGCCAGGAGCCGGGCGACGCCCTTGTCAGCAACTTTCCCCATGAAAGTTCACAAGATGCGAAAAATAATCACCCATGGCAATCCATTATCTATTCATCGCCAAGCATTTGTCCATTGCCACCTATCTCAGACGACAGTGACAAGGATGAAGATGGTATGTTCAATCCGTCTAATCTGTCTCAATCATCTATGTCTGACCTCCCAAGGCAAAGATTTCCAGCGCTCGGCGATAGAGGAGCGAGTAATAGCGCCAGCTCAAGTACCGTAGTTGGTGCGGTAAAAACGTTAAGTCCTCATTCTAATCAAACGATTAAAGGAAAGCATTTCTGTAATGAATGTGGCAGGTCATTCACACGTTCCAGTACTCTAGTCGCTCACAAACGCATCCACACTGGAGAAAAGCCCTTCATGTGCGAAATCTGCGGTCGGGCTTTCCGTCAACCAGGCAACCTTTCCCGCCACCGTCTCACTCATACGACTTCCAAGCCTTACGTATGTCCGCATTGTGATAAAGCCTTCAACCGTGCGTCTAACCTTCACACTCATATGCGCACACACAGCGACTACAAACCTTACCACTGCGACTTTTGTGACAAGCGGTTTCACCAAAAAATTGACATGAAAATTCATCGTTACACACACACAGGTGAAAAGCCACATAAGTGCCCAAAATGTGGACGTGGCTTCAAACAGCTCACCCATCTGACGTACCACCTGAGGACCCATTCAGAGATCCGAATGTACCACTGTGAATTTTGCGGCAAAGGCTTCAACCAGAAAGGAAATCTACAAGCACATAGATATAGGCACACCGGTGAAAGACCATTCAAGTGTCAAGTTTGTGGTAAGGGTTTTACGTTGGCTTCCACGAGGAATACCCACGTGCGCACGCACGCTCCAACCAAACCATTTCAATGCCAACACTGCGATAAAGCATTCTACCAGAAAAATGCTCTCAAGACGCATTACATTGCTTCGCATCCGTACGCCGATGGAGTATTGATTTTGTAGAACTATCATAGACAAGAATTTTAGTATGTATCTGAGTTATGTTTTGGATTTTCTAGAGAAAAGTCCAAAGTGCTAGCAAGCCATAAAGACATTTGCAATATTTTAATGAACTAATGATGAGAACGATGAGTACTTGTTTAAAATCTGACAGAGTATAAATTCACAAATTATACCGTTACAAACAAACAAACAGAAAAAAACACAGTTTCACCATGTTGATAGTTGTTCATGCAACGTGTTGCTATGCTAACACTGGCACATTGTTCTCTCAGATGCCAGTTTCTCCTAGGCGTGCACAGTTGGGAGAAACTTTTTGCTGATTTTTTGACGATCTTTTTTCAGTTCTTTCTGTAATTAAATATCAATTGATGTAGGGGATTGCATAATTAGATATGTAGATATTGCTCAATATGCTGATCAGATTTTGCTATTAAATGCCAAAAACATATTCAGCATTTATGAGTATTTTATTATGAGAAATAATCGTCGTATTAGATATCTGTTTTGTCGTATGGCTTTTTACTTTCTTGACTTTTTTCTTGACCTTTGCAGCTAAAATATCTTTTAGGGCTAAAATAAACCATGTACCACGCCCTGAGTTTTCGTCATCGTCCTTTTAGAAATATCAGACAAGCGAACATATTCCTGTGGTAACGCCACAATTTCAATGCACCTTTATCAAAACCTTACAAAACCTTCTTTTACATCTTCAATTTTTTTGTTCGTGGTTATTCATCCGAAATATCGAATGTGGTCAAACAGTTATGTATTTTTTATTGTTATTATTATTATATTACTATTCCACATTCACTTGGATGAAAACGAAGTAACGGCTTCAGTTTGAGGCTGGAGCTTTCGACAAAAGACAAAAATCCAGCCTTGACTTGAAGCCATTGTCTCGTGTTCATCCAAGCGAGTTTGGAATAGGGCTATTCACCAAACCATCGTTCGGTATTGGCATTTCAGTGTAAAAAACTGCTTCAATTAAAGCGTGAACAGAAAACGTGTTTCTGGTGTGAACAGATCAACAGCTGTGGATAGATCTTTAAAGGGGGAGTATTGAACTGCTGAAACTGATGTGAAGTGATTTGTGCACTGATTATATGCTTTGGTAACCGATGCTGCTGTTTTCCTACTCTTTTTATATATGCATAACACCTGGTTACATAACTGCCCTCAATTAAAAAAAATCACGTGGCTTATACTTAAGCAATCGATAGTAGAGTTGCTGGGATCCAACAGTCGGATTTTTATACCGGTAAATATATAAAGTGTACATTGCCTTTCATAATCTTTCTAGTTGTAGTACAGAATTTAATTCCTTATATAACCACATTTAAACCAGGTCAAAGCCAGGTCAAAACGTTACTATTTATATGTTGTTGACTTTGCAAAGTCAAGTATATATGCTTGTTTAAACATTGCTAATATAATGGTGTTGATGTGCCAATGATAAGGAGTGATTGGAAAATGTGCTAATATTCAGCTAAGTAAACGTTTGATCAGTTGACCAACAAAAGTGTACGTACGTGATATAACAAGTATACCTGTGTAGACATTCTTAATGAAACAACCTTCAGTACAAAAGCAGTCGAGATACAGTTTGATAGTAATGGCTCTCAAAGCCCTCGGAAACCTTAGCCAACTAGAGCGACGCAACCTGTCTTCTTCTGTGAGAAGATTTGAGCTTGAGTATGAAATTCAGATGAAATTTCTTGCTGCCGAGAAAACAAGGATGGCCGCAAGAGCGAGGACAGCAATGAAAACTCCCAGTGAGAAACCTTCCCAGGAATCGGCCAAAGAAAACAATAAAGAGTTAGTGTGTATAGAAATGACTTCTTCAAAACTATTGCAAAGATCTCAAAAGAAGAACTCCTGCATTTCCACTTGCCATCAAAGCTGTGCAACAAATGGGAAGAATGGACCTTATCCTTCAACCCATCAACAGCTCCCACTCCCAAAAATTATCGTACAACCTCCAACAAAGATTCTAGCTTACAAGGCAGCCAATTCTTTTCGAGAAAGCAAAGAATCAAAGGCAGAACTATCCAACACAAAGCGAGAAGACATGAATTCTAGTAGCACATTTCCATCTAGCAATCTCCGAAAGAACACTGCAGTATTACAGCTATCGTCCAAACAGCGCCGAGTGTCATTTCATCCCCTGTCTGTTCCTAGGAACAGCGTCACTGCTTCGCCAACAGATATCCTGAAAATTCAAAGGCGAAAGAGCTGTCCAAATCTTGGAATCGCGAAGCATAGGATGCTTGCTGGTGGTTTAAATTTATCATCTAAAAGAAACACCTTGGAATCGTACGAGAGAGAGTTATCAGAGTTAAAGGAATGCAGATACCTTCGCGTTCCAAACTTTCCAAAGAGTCATGGACTAGAGAATTACTGACAGCTTTCTAGCTTTATATACAATTCAACTTTTCTTGCGATTATGATTTAGATTAAAAAATTCACTTACGATTTCACTTAATTCATAGACTCATCAGAACTTTTAMATTTTTTAGTTTTTTAGACTTAGTTATATATGTACCGTTAGTAGTGACATTCTCGTAATAAAAAAAAACAAATAAATCGTATAAAATTATCTGTTTTTGTATGATAATCATCAATACACTCCGAATATGCATGGGCCGGTAAAATATAGAATCGGATCGTTTTTGTATGTTTTTTGATATAAAACGTCAAGTTTAACTGAATAACATCATACTACAAAAATACAAAATAACGTTAACAGCTACCCCAGTAAAGCCTGGTGTTCACATGGTGAAGTTGGAGGAGAATGGGAAGGAAGGACGCAGAACTGAAGTATGTTTATTCTGCTTCCCTCGACGCTTCCTTCTCGTTTCTATTCTATATCTTGACACCATATTCTAAAACGTTTTGGCTGTGCGAATACAACTAGCCTGCTTTGCAGAATCTATTATTAATGCTCAAAAATCTCACTTTACACTATAGCATGGTATTCAAACAGATTGTCATGCAAGTATGAATATTTGATAGTCTGCAAATCCACACTAACTATGCCGAATCAGATAATCAGACTAGCATCTAACCACCCGTAATGGCGAATATATTCTGACACAAAACTTTTCGTCATATGCAATGTCGTGTGGAGAGGCAAGATCTTTAGCTAACGTGATAAGCAGGACATTTGCCTTGTTGGTTAAGTGGGACCTTTTCCAAAACTACTCTTTGGGTATGGATTAGTATATAGTTATTAAAATGATGTTACATAACTGGAACAAGCTCGCGATACACGTGCACATATCCCTTGCGTTTCCATGCAAGGTTTTAGAACTGTACAAGCATACATATCTTGGATGAAAACGTAACAGCTCACTCATATCAAACAGTTCATAATGACGGTGGTCACATCTACTTCTTGTCGATGATACAACAGTCAGATTCATCTTTCTCTCTGATGTACAGCTTTATGTATTTAAGGATTACTGCATTGCATAACTGGCTACACATGTTGAATGCTTAGAATCGACAAAATGTACTAACGACGGGACTTACGATCCTCAATTCTGATTGAATAAAAACCGACATTGTAATCTTTTAAATAAGAAATGTTGGTAGCTAAATGAATTCCCTATTTATAAAAGGTGATTGGCGTCTTTGACCTTCGTTGTTAGTTGAGCTAGGATCCTTTTCAGACAATGGTTCCTGTTTGTAGGTGCAACTAGACAACTTAAAATGCGACTTTAGAAACGCAAGTATTAAAGTGCAACGAAACTTTTTCCTGAAGATAACAGACTCAATCACATCATCTAAAATCCTTTTATATCTAGATAATATTTTTACATATGTGCTTTAAATTATACAGCTCAACATAAAATATAACAATCAGAAAATAAAGGCGAGAAAATGACTTCGATAATAGATAGTTATAGTGCACGATATTTCAGCCATACTAATAGCCTGCACGTCTTTGACCTGCAATTGTTAGCTTTCTCTCTCCCATTTGGTAATCCCCAAATTATATAATTTGGCTCTATTTACTTTTCCACGCGTTTTGCGTACATAATGATGTTGACTTGGATTATTGTGTGTTTGTGAACTACTTTTCTTATACCGTTACGCAATTTAGCTGCAAGTGCTAGTACACGTACAGACATCATAAGGGATTGAAAAGTAGAAAATGGAATTTCTGACAATCAGAGCGATGCTGTCAGAAATGGATATTCTGCCGCACGGCGAAAGAGGCTTGGGTATGAGCAAAGGATCGTATGTAGTTAGTATACACCTATTTCAAAAAACGTTGTCGTCACCAGGGCACAGTCCACAGTCTTGAGACTGCAAAGAATTTGGGGGTTTCCTTCTTAATATATTCAAAATATATTTGCCTATGTGGTTTGAATTGGCGACAAGCACTACAAATATACCATTGCGGGTATTAGCCATGAGACATTTTCCTTGCAGTTCCACGTTTTCAAATCGTCAACGAGCTTCAAAGCTAATTTCGCTACAAGACTGGGAATTTTTAACATAATCATATCTGGCAATCCCGAGATTCTTTGCACGCTCAATACTGTGGACTGTGCCCTGGCGACGACAACGTTTTTGAAATAGGTATATAATGGCACGTGCAACAACATTCTGTTCATGTAGGCTGGTCAGGTCGAAAACTCAGCTTCAATTCTTTTATTTAACTAGTTTTAATTAAAGCAGAAAAATAAGGGAGGTGATCGAATGTAATTTTGCTCAAGATATTGATACGTATAGTTGGCTTTTTGTTCTCATGTAACGTCCTCTAACCCTCGGAGAGTGCTAGTTGCTCTGCAAGTCTGCGCGAGGTCGGGGAATACGTTTCTGCGGGTTTCCACGGTTTTTGGCCACAACCCCAGGGTGGTTTTTACGTGGTTTTGCGGTTTTTCGTATCTGGTAGTCTTGAATCAACTAGGTCTGTAGGTTTTTCTTTATAGGATATATAGTGTATGATAGCTTGTAGTTTGTCATATCACTCCTGACTGGCGAAGGATCCTAATAAAAACACTTTACGAATGTTTTGTCTAGTGTAGTCAGAATCTGAAGTCATTTTTGACTTTTGACCCAGGATCCTTTTCGCGCTGTGTCCAACACCTCGCCTGGTGTAAATTGATGATTTCTCGAAGACATACATGTTTAGTACTGTGTGGATTTAGTGAATTTGTGCAACCAATGCGCAAAATGCTTAGTCAATTCAACATTTAATTCTATTTACACAACTTATGATGTGATGAAACTTCTCAGCCAGAGTTGCTAAGAAAAATTAGCAAATTTCCAAGTGCTTGGGCTACCTGTGCAGAGTCCAGAAGGGCTGTGGCAAGCGGATATTCCTGGTAACTAATTTAAAACGGGAAGACTCTGTTGGTGACTCAGCCATTTCTCAGAAGAGTGTTCGAAAAATCCTCAATTTTAGACAATTGCCAACGGCTTAGATCGTCATAATGGTAAAAGAAACAAAGCTTTATGGTATGTACTGTACATATAATCGGAAATTATACTTAAAACTCAATTATTTAGATGATTTTTTGCTGTCTTTTGCTAACACGTGCTTAGGATGAGGTAAGTTGTGTCTTACAGTTTGATCGCTTTTACTTTAGACATATTGGGAGTAAACCCAGAAGCATCGGCTTCAGAGATAAAGAAATCATATAGAAAGTTGGCATTAAAGTATCATCCTGACAAAAATCCCACTGAAGGCGAAAAGGTTGGTATTTCTGTCAGCAAAATTGGATGACAAAAACGCCGGTTGACAACGATATTGCGCAATATTTCATATTTAGTAGCTATGCCCAGTGTTTGGTGGCGTATGTTCGTATATTTATGTATGATGTATCCAGTGAAAAAAATGAATTTCCCAAACATATTATGAATTGTATTTGTTCTTTATCAGAAAACTATGTTGACATGTTGAAAGCAAAAAAAAAATCTTTTGAAAGTGAAACCTTGTATTTTTCCAAGTACAAAGCTCAGTGGTTATGATCTCAGATTGTTTTTTTTATAGCTGTTTATGCCAGAGTTCGGACTATAATGATTACCATGTAATAATAACATTGGAGTCATACAAAGTACATCATAAACAAAGATAATAAATGTGTAATTGCAATTATTATGAACTGAATTAATTGTAAAGAATCAGAAAATCCTAGCTCTTTCCTCTCTCCCCCGGAGTTTATCAAATATCAAGCAATCCAGTACTTACTACAGAACAACCACAAAGGGGATGTGAACATAATACATTGTTTAAATTGTGCATTCATGTCAATTGTACTTTATCAATATAATTTCCATCATAGTTCAAGCAAATCTCCATGGCTTATGAAGTTCTATCTGATGAGAAGAAAAGAGAAATCTATGATCAAGGTGGAGAGGAGGCTCTGAAAGGAGGTGGTGATGGGGGTGGCTTCCATTCTCCCATGGATATCTTTGATATGTTCTTTGGTACTGGAAGATCTAGACGGCAAGGTGAACAAAGAGGGAAAGATATGGTCCATCAACTGAAGGTAAAGTTTATTTTACAGTATCTTATTTTTTAGCTTTATTTAACAACCAGGATGAATTGACACTGTGTAAATAGTGTAGAATAATTTTATGATAGGAATATGTGTCTGTAAGGTGGAGCTACACTGCCTTATTATATGCATTCTCAGTTCAATATGTTTATGATAGGACCATAACCAACTGAAATGTACTGCAGAGATTTTCAACGTGATTCACATTCATTTTGAATTCATACAAAAATCAGTCAGTTTGGGGTCATTTCAAAAATCCCTTTCAAAAAAGGACATTAAAAATCAGTTTTTTTAAAAAGTTCTTCTTGGAAAAGTTCTAGAATTTTGTTATGAAAATGTAGCTTTAATGATCCTTAAAAGGTCTTGTACTTTTACCAGACAAGGAGACAGGGGGTACAAGTTAATTTCAATTTTTTAACTCAGAACGGTAACAAAATGCTTTCTTGCTTCCAACTTTAGGTGTCATTAGAAGACATGTACAATGGTGCCACCAGGCAGCTGGCACTACAGAAAAATGTCATCTGTTCAAAGTGTGAGGGAAGAGGAGGCAAAAAGGTTGGTAATGAACGATTTATTTCCTATAATTTATTTAAAAACATTTTAGTACCATAATGCTTTTCTAGAGCTCTATTTAGGACAAGGTCAAAAACTGTGGAACAAGTCATCCTGTGGACAGCCATTTATAAGAAATTTGCAGTACATTGTACATTATATTGGTATCAGGTTATTTCGCACAAGAGACCGTTCGCACAAGTCGTTTCGCCCGAAGTTTCGGACCGTTCGCGCAATTCTCATATCGATGGATAGTCATTTCGCACAGAAAATAAAACGCCTCAAAGAAAGATACGAAAGATATATCAATCTACTCTAATAATATATATCACTTTCGATGAAATCTTATGGCTTTTAAATCAATATTTATGGAAAAAATTTCAACGAACTCGAACGCGACACTGTTAAAAACGACGACTCAACAACTTGGTTTTGTACGAGCACTACACTGGATGAGAAAAGAAACACAC